CTGCCTTGGCTGGTCCCTCGGGCACGTGCGGGGCATGGGGACTTGGAGCATGCACCCTGGGGAGAGATGGTAGCAGCCTGTAACCTCCCCACCAAGTCTAGGGAGATGGCATTGGGCTTCCATGTGGGAAATGACAGATTAGGTAGATATGAGAAAAAAAGATCTACCTGCTCCCACCTGGAAGACCAGCCCTACAATGGTCTGGGGGAGGACTGGCTGCAGGGAGGGCTCCCTGGGCAGGATGCTCAGCCCAACTCTCCCCAGGCAGATGGAGGGATGTCATATGCCCCAGCCCAGCTTGGTTAGGGCAGAGGCAGGCGCTGGTGGCAGCTCGCAGCTTGTGCAGCTGCAGCATCTCCCAGCCTGCGCAGCTGCAGCCTCTCCCAGCCTGCGTCACTAGCAGGGACAGCACGGGAAAACCAATGCCAACAGCAGCTTTAGCCTGCATCTTGGTTGATGCCTTCATGCCACCGTATGAAGCAATTGCCCAGTACCTTTAATACTGGCTTTTCAATAAACATCATTACCTGGCAGGGGAAGGATTATGAAATAAAATTTACCACTAAAACTCCATTAGTAATAATGTTTTCAGGAGGGTCCGGACTAAAAGAAAACAGAAATGGAAAACAATCAGTTCAAAACCAGCACTCTCTTTTTTCGGTTTGTTTGTTTTTTAACTCTTCTTTAATCATTATTTCATTACCTTTATCTTTATAGTCTGTCTTTGGGCAGGCAGCATGGGTAAACAGCATCAGAAATTCTATTTGGACATTCAGTCCAATTTGTCTCCCACAGACTTGAGTCTGAGCTTTAAACTATTTATGGAGATCTGCGAATGGAGGAGCTCCTCACTGCACCAGACAGGATCATTTTCTGATACACTGAAGTAAATTTACACAGGGATGGGATAATTACAGTATTACCCCATATTGCTCAGTTCAAACCTGGGGGATCAGAGCTGAAAAGCTGATTAATTCATCCAATATGCCATAATAAAAAAGGAAAAATATTACCATTTACCTTAAAAATCAACTAACAGCACTAGGACTGATTTACATGTCCATTCTCTCCATTAACCGTACAGTCAGTATAGAAACATAGTAAAAAAAAAAAAAAATCTATTCCTACAACTAAAACAAATTCCAAGTGTCGATTTTCCCACTTTATTAAGAAAAAGCGAATATCTGGGATCCCACAGTAAGTAGCAAGAGGGATTCAAAATTTAAAACCTCCCTCTGTTCAGAATGCCACTTGCAGCCATCAGGGTCATCGCTACGCTCCCATCAGCAGCTGTGCAGGCTTCTCTGAGTGTCTGGATGCGCAAGGTAAATGCACACACCACGCTCTGTCATGCACCCCTTCTCCATTTAAATGCCCTACACAAGCCTTTCCTGAACACCCAAAGTTCCCCTCTGCTTCATTCGGGTGGTGACAGTGCTAGGGGGTTGCAAGTACCAACGGATGTTTTGTGTCAGTAACACTTTGTCTCTGGCTAACATTTCTCTTGATCACCTATTTGACCATACGCACCTGCTCTCCATTGTGAATTCAACCTCCAGCTCCTCTTCCCCCTGTAAAAGAAAATGAATGCAGTCACTGCAGGTTGATTCTCCTGTGAAAAGAAATACCCTACAAGAATTTTTGCTCTTCAGGGAACTCTATAAGCCAGTGTCCTCCTTTTGTTACTGCACATGCAACAGATTTAATTTTCTTCATGTCTTATCTGCTGTACTTCTAGATCACATACTTCTAATGTCATATCCATTATTTTAGCAGACTCCTACTTTAGACCTTGCAAACCAAATGTGATATATACTGTAGGTTCTCTTGGTGGTTGCTCCTCTTTCTGCAGTCATAGGTTCACCCCTCACTGTTTCACAGGCCACCTGCAGTTCCCTTTTCCCATCCTCTCCCCACAAGCCTTCAGCACTCCCCACTGATCCTCAGCATGAGTAAGACTGGATTTCTCTGGTGCATCCAAATCACCCTGCCTCTCTCCCAGCCCTCACCCACAGCCTGTGCAGATGGGCCTGGTGGCACAGTAACATGGTGGCACACTTCGATGTATGAAATCCAGGGTGTTCTGGAGGATGTGCTTTGGTTTGGTGCAGCCTGCACAGGTAGACTCTTTGCGTGCTCAGTCTTCATCTTTGTCTTTTGTCATTCTCTCCCCCTGAGATTTCCTTCTTCATTTGCAGGTTTTGGTGCAACTGCCATTATTTTGTTGGACCCTAGTGTGAGCACTAAGGAAAACACAGCACAGAGATCCAGCCTTTCCAAAACAGGTATCAAATAGAATCAGCACTCATTGAGGTAAAGTATTTCTAGGCCTAAACACCGTCCTTCAGTATAAAGTTGTTTCAACCTTGTGAAATCAAGACCTGCTGAAAAACTCATAAATGAAAATTGACTTTGCAGCTTATGACTGCAGATCACTGCTTTTATATTAGCAGAACATAATGCACAGCTCGGAACCACCAGCTCCAACTGCAAAGGGACACCCAGAACTGTTCTGCTAAATTCTCAATATTTTGACATCAAGGACAGCAGCCAGAAAATGAAGTCCGATAATGTTGGCCAACTCTGTCTCTAGAAGAAGCACTCGAAATTCGCAGTAATTACAGAAGCAACACTGGCTATCATCCCCTGAACATACTCAGATGGTTAAATGGGCAGTAAGAAAGGCTTGTCTGTGGGACACATGAGATGAAAGATGAGATAACCACGTTCTCACCTAACCACATCCCCTTAGCTTTGTCCTTGAATTTTATCCATACCTTTGGATTCAGCTGGAAAGACAGCTGAATGTTTTCTCCAAGCTGGATTTTGGAGACGTCAAAGAATACAGTGAGGAGATGGTCATCTTGCGTTACATTGTCCTCATCGCAAACTTTCAGCTCCAGAATGTTCTGGAATAAAATAAATAAGTTGTATAAGGTTTAACAAATGTAAGATGACACAGATATTTAATTCTAGCTAAAGGAATTTGGGAAAGAAGTTCAAGAAAGAAAGTAAAGGTAAAAGTAAAATAGAAATTCTGCAGTTGCACTCTAAATTGACTATTCAGGAATATACATTCTTATCCAGCCACTGAAAGCTAAAAAACTACAATAAGAATGTGAATCCTTCCTAAAGGAATTGAGACACCTGCAGTGTGGAAGGCTATACAGTAGGTTTGACATCTGGTAAGAATACCTGTTGCAGATAGCTACTGTTCCTACCTTAACCTGGCTTTGAATTGTGAAGTGGAAGGTTTCATTCCACGTTGGGTTCTTGCTGTTCTGGACAGTTTTGGTGCGGAAATGCTGCACTGAAGCTGTCGGCAGGCTTAGGCTCACATAGCAGTCCGACTGGCTTACTGTTGAAGAGAGGGAAACCATGAAAGCAATGGACCAGTGAAACACATCTAGTACCCTGGAAGTTGTTGCATTATCTGAATTTTTAAGCCCTGTAAGCAGGACAATATGCAGAACACAGGTTAGGATGCTAGCTAAGGTGCCATCAAGCCAGTGTTAGACAACCAGCTTGCTTTACTCTGTGAAGCTGTCAGTTTGCTCTTCTTGAGAACTACTTCATTTAATTACTGGAAAAACAATAAACATTCAAAATACACAGTTACATTGCATTTCTTTTCAGAGATACAGAGCCAGACTAGCTATATACATCAGACTTCAAAGGTTTGAACGCTGACGAGCCATCTATACGCGCAGGGGCAGAAACACACATGAGAGCCTCACAGAGCTGGGCACCACTGATGTTTGAGGTGCCTGTCAGGAACACAGAGCAAATAACATTAATAGCTGTGATGAGGGCTGCTGGACAAAGCCCAGCTCACACACAGTGGGCTTCCACAGGTAGCCTTCCTTAATGTCTCTGGCTGTAAGTTTACAGAATCATATAATCACAGTGGTAGGAAAAGCCCTTTAAGATAACCAAGTCCAACCATAAATGTAACACTAACAATTCCACCTCTAAACCATGTCACTAAGCACCTTGTCTACGCATCATATAAATACCACCAGGGAAGGTCACTCCATCACCTCCCTGAACAGTGTGTTCCAATGCTTGACAACTCTTTCAGTGAGGAAGTTTTTCCTAATATCCAATTTAAACCTCTCCTGGCACAACTTGAGGCCATTTCCTCTCATTCTATTGCTTGTTACCCGGGAGAAGTAACCAACCCCCACCTCTTTACAACCTCCTTTCAGGTAGTTGTAGAGTGAAAAAGTCCCCTCAGCCTCCTTTTCTCCAGACTAAACAACCCCAGCTCCCTCAGCTGCTCCTTGTAGGACTTGTTATCCAGGCCCTTCACCAGCTTCATTGCCCTTCTCTGGACATGCTCTAGCACATCAATGTCTTTCCTGCAGCGAGGGGCCCAAAACTGAACACAACACTTGAGGTGCAGCCTCACCAGTGCCGAGTTCAGGGAGGGGATCACCTCCCTACTCCTGCTGGCCACACTATTTTTAATACAAGCCAGGATGCTCAGCTGGCTGTTGACCAATAACCCCAGGTCCTTCTCTGTTGGGCAGCTCTCCAGACACTCCTCCCTAAGTCTGTAACGTTGCATGGGGTTGTTGTGACCCAAAGTTCCATCTTGTCTACTTTTTGGAGCATCCTTTCTTTTCTCTAGCATATCTAGCTGCCAATGCAGAGCCTACAGGAGCTCATTTCACTGAAGGTTCCCATGAAACCCAATCGCTGCCACAGAAGGCAGGTCTTCCACCAAGGCACTTCATCTCAGTCTGTCTTCTTCCCTTTGGGAAATTTAAAGAAGGGAACACACACACATGCACCATACAGCTCAACAACACAGTTTTGAAAGAAAGAAAATTAAGAAAAAAATTTCTATAAAAACAAATTAATCCTCTGTGGAGAAGATGAATTGCATTTAATCCTCTGTGCAGTGGGCTAAAATGAGCAAGTAGAAGAAAAGTGTTGAAACTCTGAAGAGTCTGATGGTGTAATATTTGGTTTGAGAAGCAGCTGTCCTGAGGGAGAGTTTTCACCAGTAAAGCTGTATAAAAAAATATTGCTTAATGCCACTATTTTCACTCACTTCTCTGTGCCTCAGCCAGAGAGGGATAAGTGTATTTGCAACACTTGATGAGCAGGTGAAATCTTGTCTGTGCTTCCCAGCACTGAACATGGTGGTATTGCTTCTTTGCACAAGATTGCATTGCTCTGACTTTGCTGTTTCAATTAGAGGTGTGTTCAGGTCATAAAGTTCACCTATGAATCTTTAATGTTTCCAGATGCAGGGAGGGTAGCTTTAGTATTTACATTTTCTTTTCCCAGATGAAGGAGCCAATTGTAAAGTTTGGCTTCCCACCTGAGCTCTGTTGTAGGTGAGGGTTGTTGAGGACCCAAGCTTCAGTGTGAAGCAGTGGTTAGCAGCAGTCTGCAGTGCTTACATCATCAACAAGTACTTTCATTCTGAGGTTAGAAGAATCTGCCTGCAAATATGTATTTTCATAGTTATTAAGAAATAAAAGGCAAACATGAATCATGAGATTAACAATCCTGTGAACTCACACTCAAAAGCCAGGGATGATCACCCTACAAAACACGATCTGTTAGTTAGGGACAACAACCCACACAAGTGCCAAAGATAACATGGAAGAGTATTGCCCATAAATACCAATCCCATCATTAGCATTTTATTTCCTCTATTTGCAATGCGCCACCTACTCGAGCATTCCTACCATTGCATGGCAGACACACCTTTATCTAACTAGACTAATTCTTGTCCCACGTAGTGTTACTGGTAGACCTGACTTCAGGAAACATGGAATAATTGACTCTATCCTTTATCACACTCTATGATTAACTGAAGAATTAACAAAGCCAGCCTTTTTTTTTTTTTTTTCCTGACTCCCTTGAGATTTAGGTCATCTTTGTTTGAGTCACTCTGAAGAAAAAAAACCCAAAAAACAGTAAAACACATAGAAATGACCTGAATTTCTAACAGTCCTAATCTCTCCCAAACTTTTGCCTGTATACAGGAAATTTCTATTTGAAAATCCTTTTTGGCTCTTGGGAAGTTCAGATTGATATTAGCAGAGATTGCTGTCAGGTCTTGTTCCCACTGGGAGTAGACTCAGAAAGACCAAAGCCCAGAAATTTGTGAGCAACCCACAGTTTATTTAATTGACATTTCCCAAATTGCAGTACATGCTCTGACTAAGTCTGTTGTGAAGAATGAAGTATTACTTCTAAAGTCTACCACTTTTTTCTTTCCTGCAAGTGATCACTGTCTGCTACTGCACTGTATCATACACCTTTAAGAAATAACTACTTATCAGACAGCAGAACTCTGACTTCTTTTTCAGATCTCTGACTTCCTCTGAGGGACTTCTGACACAGCCTCTAAACAAGCATGCTTCCCTCTTCCCATCTGCAAAATGTGCTTAGTGATGCCTTTTGTACTTCAGAAGTGTCCTCTGAAACCTAACTGCCTTTTGTTTGTGAAATATTTCCAGGTGTTATAAGAGAGGCACTTACAACACCTAGGAACCTTTTTTGACATGTCTCAAATACCTCAGGCCCACATAGTGCCCAACCAGCTCCAGGCACAAGCAGATGTGAGAACTGGAACTCCACAGCATATCCTGTGCCCAAGCCAGTCAGTCACATCACAATATCCCACAGCCTTATATGAAGTGCCTCTTCACCCATGTGTACAGGGCTCCCATTGCCAGTCACGTGCAAGTAAACCATCATTACCCTGGTATGTAAGGCTAACCACCACCTCACTATGATGATTACGCTCACATATGGTACACACAACAGAGCTTCAGAGCAGAAACCTGTTGTGTCCCTCCCCTGGACCACGACACGTGAGCAGACATCAAACATGCTTGGGGCAGGAGCCATGGTATCACTGTGGGGCAATATCCTGCCAAAAGCAGGTGTGGCAGAAGTTGTTTATGACAGCACAGTCTCTTTGTCCAGTTATTACACTAAGTTTCTAATTATCTTCCAGGACAGCAGCAGGACTGGATCTTAATTGTGTTTTACCATTAGAAAGCATTACAGCGACATGACCCATGCTAAGAAACACCATAGCCCCAGCATCACATTGCAGCCCAGACAAGAACAAGGCACCAGCTGTTCTGGTTCAAGCTAAAATCTCATCTGTCTCATGGACAGCTTAAATTGAAACAGGGTGAAACAACAACAAAAAAATAATTCTACCTCCTTTTTTGATGCTAAGACACAGCCTCCAGCCCATGTATAACCTGGGCAGAACCCTGGACATCCTCTTCCTCTTGGACTGGCTTTCAGTGCTTACATTGAGGCTGTTTCTAGGAGGTAGATTTTCTTCATTACTGTTAGGGTATAGTTTTATTTGTTGTGCTGAAGGGACCCAAGCCAAGGCACAACTGAGGCTTTGAACAGCCTGGTCTAGTGGAATGTGTCTCTGCTCATGGCAGGGGGGTTGGAACTAGATGATCTTTAAGGTCCCTTCCAACCCAAACCATTCTATGATTCTAATGTAGTCTCAAACACTGTTTGCCTAGATCATCTCCTTGATCATGTCTACCCTCACGTGAACCCATCCATGTCACGAAATATAAACTACCACCACCAGCTGAGAAAAGCATTTTTCTTCTTCCACCCACACTGTGGAGCTCAGCAGAGATCTGTCCGAGAGTAGATGGACAGGCGGACATTGTTTTTTTTCTAGAGTTCAGAATATTAGATAATTTAGATCATTGGAACTTTTTATACTCTTTTTTAAATAAGAATGTGAGTTACTTCTGTGAAAGTAAACATCCTCCTTCTCAAGGCCCCTTACAGTCAATCAGAGTTCATCCAGTCCTGGGACATCAGTTCCTATGTCCAGAGAGCATTGAACATTAATCTCCTAATAGCAAAACATCAATAAAAAGCTTTCAGACTTCCTGCCATCCTGCCCTTCACATTGAGTGCCGTAGAAGTATCCCTAAACCAGTATCACTAGTCTCCTTTACATCCCTTCTCAAAACATTCCTTTGCTGAGATGTTGCTAAATGACCTTCCTCCTTCCACCCCTGTTTTCTCCCTCATTGGGCTTTAGCAGTCCACATCCTCTTATTTTATGAAGAGATTTCAAGCAGCACCTAGAACAATAGGCTGTTGGTACATAATTGCAACTGTTTAAATGGTGAAGTAAGCGATAAATAATAATGAAACAATAACACCAGTGCAAGAACAAAACACCAGAGGAAGTCTGTAGGTTCCTGCAAAAGTATCACATTGAACCATAGTTCTGCAAACAATAATGTATTTCACTGGCTATATTTCTTTTCAGGATGTCAAGGGTCTTGAACTGATCTCATATATGGCAGAACTGCTACTGCCACACTGTAAAATATTTTTTTGATAAAAATGTAAAACGTTCTTTAATTTTATAAAATGTTGTACCCAAAATAATATGTCTTATATTCTAAAAGTCCAAAACTTGGCAGATGCCAAAATTAACAAGCTTAATTAAAAAAAAAAATCTAGAAAAGCTTAAAAAAATACAATTTTCTTACTAAGAAAATGCTGAAGAACATTTTTAACTCTACACCAGTCAAGATCCATTTAGCCCAGGGCCAACAGGCAGTGTCTACTGAGGGCTCTTGGATGTTTCCAGGAGGCAGGGAATGATGGGTTAAAGTTGCTCAGCTCAGTGTTCCTATCCAGTTGTTTATTTTGAACTTTTTGTTTAACCCTTAACACTCTGGGTTTTTTTCCTTTTTCATTGGTTAATTCCACTTAATGGTTTTGTTTCTCTCCAAAAATCTTGCTCTTTAGCCTCCTTGTCTTTTTTGGGGGGAAGGATCTTTGTTCTTGTTAGGGATGAACATCAGTGCCAGAGAAGAATATGCCCCACATTTAGTGGTGGGTGACTAAGGAAGAGTATAAGAGGGCAAGCACCATATAATGCTCTCTCAGCCCTCACAATTTAAGATACAGAAACTTCCTAAGCCAAACTCCACTGGATTTTTCTTGTATTAATTTGTCCGTTCTCTGCTTGGAACCCACATAGACTGTTGGAATCCGTGACCTCCTGCCTTGGAGCAAAAAGATATGTCTTGCAAAAAGATATGTTTGCCTTGTTGCAAAAAGATATGTCCTTCTGATTATTCTGGAGCGATGGTGGTTGCCAAAGGACTCTGAGTGGTTGAGCTTGAAATTTGGAATTCTCTGTAGAGAAAGCCCTGTTTTTAAGGGTGGGTTGGACTGGTGCACAGCCAAGTCTCACTCCATTAGAGAGTCAGGATGAAGATGGGACACACACCCAAATCTGAGAACTGGCAAGTGTTCACAGGTCCAGGAATATCAAGAGCCCCAATGAGCCAAATAGGGACGTGGGTGTGCTCAGTGGGAAGGGGGAATGTGGAGAATGCAAACAAAGCACTAAATTCACAGGTGGTATCAATGACATCAGCTATGCATCAATAAACAGGTGGAAATTAGTGTCATAATTTAAACTGATGGATCTGTGTGCAAAAGAGATAGATTAACACAAAGGTGCATTAAAAAGATTCAGGGTTTAAAAAGCAGAATGAAACAATTTGAATTGTCTTAGATAAAAATACTATCTTATGCACTCAACTTCCATTAAAGATCGTCTATTTTCTATTCCATAGGAGATGTTAGTGAGGTTTTGAGATTTTATTGCTATTAATTAATTTTCCCATCGCCATTACCTGGAAAATGGAGCAGCTAAACCAATAATGAAGTTAACCCATAGCACCAGATTGGGAGACCTTCTAGTGGGAGACTAGATGACTATTAAACAAAGTGATCCAAAAGCTCTACACAAACCTAGTGCAAGAAGGGATCTCGAGGGGAGAAAATAACAAAATTGGATTCACTTCAGAAACAAAAGGATGGCACAGCTGGGGAGAGATAGAAAGAGCTGATTTAAAATGTTAACAATCTATAAGATGACTGAGAAATAGGCGACGCTTGCCAACTTGTTCTATCCAGAAAAGTTTGCAGGAAAAGGAAAGTGACAAAAACAGAGCTGGGAAAAGGAAGGATTCTAAAAAAACCAAACAAACAGTGTTATGAACAAACTTAAGGAAAAACTTCTTTACTGTAAGGGTGACAGAGCACTGGAATAAGCCGCTCAGAGAGGTTGTGGAATCTCCATCTGGAGATGTTCAAAACCCTCCTGGATGCTTTCCTGTGCAAT